GTGGGGCGCTGGGGCTCGGTGCTGCAGAGCGATCAGGTGAGCAGTGGGGGGCTAAGGCAGCTCCCTGCCTGGCCTGGCACCGCAGACTGTGCTGCACCCCAGAAGTGGCCGCCAGCAGGCCCGGCTCCTCAGTCTGGGGGGAAGAACCCAGAGCTCCCCACTAGCTCCACACTCCCATGGGCTGGGAACCTGGTGCCGGCTGCAGCTGGGGCGCAGCCCCCCACTGCTCACTTGATCCCCCTTCAGCCACGTGCCAGGGGGCCCGACATTCCACCACCCCCCAGTGCTGGTTGCACCCCGTCATTTGCAAACCCCTGTGGTAGAGTAAATGCGACAGGACAAAGCCAGGGAGGCAAATCCCCTCCACCCCCGGTATAACTCCACTGAAGCTAATGGGTGTGTGGGGAGAGGGAGGCTGTATATGGGGGGAGTGAGGGAATGTGGAAGGGGGCTGGGTGATGTAAGGGGTTTTGTGCTTACCTGACCCCTATAGATAAGCTTTTATGTGGAACCCTTTTCCTACCGGCCCATTGCTACTTAGTGACTGCAGGGTGGGGAGAGGGAGGGAGGGACCTGCATTGTGAATTCAAAATAAACACGGGTGTGATTTAAAAAAAAACTTTTACAGTCTCCTGTGCCCTGAAAATTCAGTTTGCTCACTAGAGGCCCTGGCTCTGGCGTGGTTCTATGAGTTGGGTTGGCTGGGAAGATCCATTTTTAAGACTATTTGTGCCTCAGGGCCGTAAGCCCCCCACTTCTTTTACCACAGAGATTTGAATCGTTTTTTTCGATGCCTGCATGTGACCTCTTGCCCTCTCCTGGAAAGTCAGCGTCGCCTTGCTGGAACTGCAGTGTGGCTTGTCTGCTGGCCTGGTTGTTAATGATCCCCTTTGGTTTCCAGATTATTTTGATCAGTCTTATTTCTACTTCAACATCTCCTCGGTCGGGAAGAATGAACAAATGCTGAAAGCAGAGCTCAGAGTTTTCAAGCTCAATAAAAACCACATGCCCCAGAAATCTTTTTTGGAACATTTTCTCAAAGTAAGTGGCGGGGGCGAGGCGGGGGCGGGGGGGAGGA